AAAAAGAAAAAAAAACACCTGAAGAACCAGTGAAATTAATATGTATACAAAATTAAATTAAAATCTTATTACAACCTAACTCAATAAATATTTTTTAAAAAATCAAATTTAGTTACGAGCAGGTGAGAAAGTGTCTCAACTTTACAATAAAAATATCAAATTCACCAAATAGTATCTAATACGATTAGAAAAATTAATACTAATTAAATTGAATATAGCTCAACTGATCGAGACATCTCTCTCTAAAGGTTGTGAATTCGAATTTCCACTCCACATATTGTATTAAAAAAATTAATACCGACAAAAATTATCATTAATACTCAAATTTTGTAGACGTTTAATTTCATTTCACTTATTTTAATTTGGGATTAATTCATGAAAGTTTAAAATTAAAATTTACTCCCTACACTGAATAGGGTAATAATAATGATGGATTTTCTCCTATACTACCTCATTTTTAAAGTTAAAATGATTTTTTTAGTACAATATGTGGAGGTGGAGACTCAAACTCACAAGCTTTAGATACTTTAATTCGTTGAGTTATATTCAGTTAAGCTAAAATTAAAATATTTAAAAATGTTTATGTTAAAAATATATAAGATATTGGAAAATTTAAAATTTTACGTCACGGATGAGGAGAATAAAACATTACAATCAAATAATTGAAGAGTGCAGAAAGCGTAAATTTGAGAAAAATGAGTGATAAAAAAGTGCACACATTATGATTGAGACACTAGAAAATCCTTGGACCTTGGAGAGGAGATATTATTGTACAGATAAGTTTCGTTAAATTATTAATGAAGCATCACTGGGATTATTTTTTTATAAATTAATTTTAGTTTTCCAACTCTCAAAATATCTATTTTAATCTCTGAGTAATAATAAATAATAATAAAACATTGCAAATTGGGTTAGAGGGGTCTCTAGTAGGTTTCAATGACGTGTCTAATCAACATATTCTTAAATTTTTAATCTTTTGTTTAAAAGATTTTTTATTTACTAGATACGGAGATTAAATATTTTTTTTAAAGTTCATTGACACATTAAATCTAACATTAAAAGTTTAATAAATCTATTAGACACAAATCTCAAAATTTAGAGGTAAACTTATAATTTAGCAAAATAATAATAGTAGTACCTATTTTGATTATGATTCTTATTCTGGTTTCAAATGTTAACGGTATGATACCATTTACTTCGAGTATGTGTACCATAATTTTGAAATTGGAACATATAGGAGCCTCAAATGAGTATTAGGGGAATATTAGGCGACGGGATAATCATAATTTTTTTAGTTTAAGATCTAAAATAGACGTTTTAAAAGTTAATAGATCTAAATAATTATTTTTTAAAGTTTTGTACTAAAAATACATGCCTTAAAAATTCGTGAATCAAAATGGTTATTTTTCATAAAATTAAGAGACTAAAATACATCTTTAAAAGTCTAGATACCAAAATAAAATAAATTTAAAAGTATTAATGTCGTTGAACACGATATTGATATTTTGGTAGCTTTGTTGAATTTGCCCTTTTTAGGCAACTTTCATCATCATTAAAAAAAATAAAAAAGCTTCAAAACTATTTTCATAATTTTCTCTTTTCTCGACTTCTTGTTATTTGCGTACAAGAAATGCTAATTTTCTATGAGCAGCCACTTTTGAAAAGGAAAGGGATAAAAAAAGATTGAAAATACTTTTATTTCAAAGAGTTGATTTGCAAGGAATTTGGATTTAAAATGTGGAATAAATATCTAATTTTCTCTTTGAAAACGATTTCGTTATGTATTCTATTTGCAAAAAATATCTTCGTGAAAATATCTGATTCCATAAGCAAAACATATCTATTGAGAGTTTTTCTAATTAATACATATTATAAACATTATTATAATATTTAAAATGTCCATTTATTTAACGTCTAAAAAGTCATTTGTCTTGTAATTATATTTCATTGTTCAAATTGCTTATAAGTAGAGCATCTTATAGTCATCAATCTACAATTTTGAAGAGAAATTAGAAATAATCAAACAAAATAAAGAAATTCAAAGGAGAAATATTATGTATTCTATATTTTATCCAATTTTATATTCTCTCATTGTTCTTTCTCTCGTGGTGCTTTATTTTCTTCATCAATTTCATAGCAATACAAAATATTTTATATAGAAAGTTGAATCTTTTAGCTAAAAAATAATTCAATACCATGATTGAGGAAAATATTTTAATTAAAAAATGAAAACAAAAGCCTAAACTAGCTTTAACATTGTAGTATCAAAATAAAATGGTTTTAGTTCATCTCAAAGGAACAAAAATTAAGTTTCGGAAAGTTAATTATTATAAGAAATGAATATTCATTAGAATTTGGGGCTGTATATTTTTAGCAATTTTGTGTTCAATATTACAAAAAATATATATATATAAATAATAAATTACCATGTTTAAAAAATAATTACAAATATTGCAAGATTATATGTGCAACTCCATATTTACTGCAACTATCTCAACAAATTTCATATTGGAGGTATCACTTTGGCTTAGAAACTTACTTAAAAGTAAGGAAATTAAATAATTATCCAATGAAATTTTACATATTTAGATATTATAAAATATTTAAAAGTTTAGAGATTATGATGCAATAAATATGAAATGTGGACGCAAAAAATAAAAACTGGAAGAGGCTCCAATAATTCAATGGGGTCCAAATTGGCAGGGGAGCATTAAAAGTGAAAGCCCAAGTGATGGCGACATGTCGTTTTGTTACCAAATTGATTTTCTCTTTAAGCAACTTGAAGACGTTTGTTTTCGGCTGCCATGTGCAACAGTGCAAGTTATAATCACTCAAATTATAAAGGTTTTATTTTTATTTATTTATTGGAAATTAGAATCTATTTTTTAATCCATATATATATATATATATATATATTAATTATTTGAATTAGACTTGAGGATTGATATTTAAATTTTAAAGGT